GTCACTTACACTTAAACATGCTTTATCCCACATAAAAGTAATTAAACAATAACCTTTTTGTCAAGGGCAAAATTAGGTTTAAACCCACTTAAAACTTCTAATAAATCATAACATTAGGGATTTTGCTCACTTAGGGTTTCTAACCTTCTTAAAATTAATTAACCTATACCAAATGGATTAAATCCTATACCTTCCCACACTAGTGGGTCCCACATCCGATATACGTTCTTAATTTCTCAAAAACTAACTAATACTAGAAAAATCATCTAAGAACTATATTTACTCATAAAACTTATCTGGGAAACTTTTCTAATAAAGAAAATGTAGAAAATGCGGGTTTTCAATCTTAGGGTTTTCTTCTTAGCCCTAACCCTAATATCAACTTACGAACGGTCTGGGTCCTCACAGAAACCTCAAGAAAGGTGGTAGCTTAGCACTTCCTCCTCCAAAATTACTCCACCAACACCCTTAGTCTTCCTTAGTTAACAACCTTTACGGAGTATTTTGCAACTTACTTGGTTAGAACTCAAGATTGAAGCAAGCTTGAAGTTGGCAAATGAAGTTTTCTCTCTTGGTTTTTTCTTCTCAAGAGGGCCGGCCAAGAAGAGGAAAAATGGAGCAAATTTTGGTCAAAATTAGTTTTAAGAAAGGTAAGAAAGCTTTGGTCAAAATCCACCTTCGAATGGTAACGCGACACGTGGCATTGCTAATGTTTATCTCATCCTCTTATCTCCCAATACTAATTAATCTAGCTAACCTCTAATTATCTCCTAGCATCTTGTAAAATAATATCCCCTAAGACAAACTTCAACTAGTTGTCAAAAATATATCGCATTTACCGCACTAGCAGGTCCCACGTCCATAATACACTTCAAACTTAATATGAACTAACTTAAACTAGGAAAAAAATGATTTAAAACTCTACTCACTTATAAAATCTATGGAAAATCAATATGATAGGGTATACTGAAGAAAATGCATGCGAGAAAATAAAATAAAATAATATAAAATAAAGGAAATTTACAAGTCCTCACAAATTTTAAGATGGACCAGTTAGAAATAGACATGTTATGATCACTTTGTATAAAATTTTCATACTATACATCCACATTATGATTCATGTCATTCAGTTGTATCAGCATATGTGACATTGATAGGTCGAGTTATGAAATTGTAACAAAAGCCGTTTTGATCCGGTGTTGATGTAATTGTTGGACTGAATTGGTTGCAGATATATTTTGGTAATGACAGTAAAGTTGAGTTTATACGGTTAATTGTAAAATATAATTATAAGATTATATATATAGTCCAAGTGGGAGATTTTTGGATCTTTAATCCAACGTTGGATTTATATGTGAATAATTATGTATTGCAGACTGCCAAATAAGGTTAAATCCAGTTAAAGTGATCAATTATAGTTTGAAATTAATGTATCTAATAGGATGTGGGTTTTTAATATGTAGACACTTAAGGCTAATTTCTATTTCTATGATGGGTTGAAATAGAAATCCAAAAGATAATAGAAAATAACTTTTTGACCTGAAAAATCACCCCAAAATCTCTAGAAATTCAAGTACCAGTTTGTAACATGAATCTTGGTACGCTTCCGCAATTTTACTGTTAATTTATTTCTTAATAATCGCCATAAAGATTTTGAATTTGATAAGTGATGGTTTTCACTAAATGTTAATATAAACTACCACCCAACACACTAGACTAATATTTAATCATAAATTACACAACTCCAAGTAGACGAGCAGATGTTAAGGGGCATTGGCTGATGACCATGTTCAGAGGCACACACAGAAGTTCGGAAATCGTGTTAGCATAGTCCCAAAAAGAATGTGCTAAAAAACAAAAAGCCAACCATTTGGCAAAGTACGAAGGAAGAGCTAGCTCTAGTTTTGATGAACACATTATTTTGCTAGGTTAAAAGAAATTAAGAAAGCATGACAGGAAAGAGTTATTTATAACTAATATCACTATGTCAGTCCTTAAAGCTTAAATTGTGAAGGCTATAATTTATTCGAGTGAAATGATCTGTTCCTTTTGCTCGCCATCCAATGATGGAGCCAAATGGGGGCTAAGGGGGGCCATAAATTTTGAAAATTTTAATTCTTAGTATGTAAATATATGTGTAAAACAAAGTTGTCACCCCTAATTTTTTATAATTGTAGTCTATATTATGAGAATATATATATATATATATATATATATATGAATTAGCCTCATCTGAATTAATTTTTTCTTCAAAAAAGTTATTTATTTTTTATTGTGCTAATTATTTAACATTCAAAAAATTAAATATATAATTTGATTATCCATAGTAAATTTACCCAATTGGATATATGATCAACGAATTCCTGTAAGTGCATAGGGTCGATCGTGATAATAATTTACCTAGAGTATTCCAGGGTCGAATCCATAGGGATGAGTTAATTTTCTACTTTAATTATTTTAATAAAATAACAAAATTCAAATTTAAGGAGTGTATTTTCTAACTAAGCAATAAAAGAAACAATCAATTTAAATAAAGTAGTGGTGAGAAAATAATAGACGTGAGTGTAGGTTTCAGGTTTTAATCCACAATTTGAATCAATTATCTAATTAATTTCTTACCAAGTTATGAACGCATTACAGGATTATATTTTAGATCACTTCTCGATGCGTATAAAATGTATTTAGTTAAATCCTACGCCTCTCTCGATGGTCATAAGAGTTCAAATTAAACCCATTAAGACTCTCAATGATATAGGTGCGTCACACATACCCTAAACTACTCTTGTGATTAGTTTATGTGTATTTATCTATCTAGAGCACAGTTGTATCTCCTTTCTCAATTCGACACAAATGCAACATTCATGTTCATGGTGACCAGGTATAAACACGTATTAAGAATAAGATAAATAAATCATAGTAAAAGACAAGAAATTAAACTATAAAATTAATCAAATTCCTTCATAAATACCCTAACCCAAGAAACAATTTAGTTCAACATGATTTAGAAGTTAAAACCATGAATTCAAAAAGTTGCTACAAAGATAAGAGAAAGAGTAAGAAAATTTCTCAATTGCTTGCTCCAATCTTCTCCTTGCGCGCTTCTTGATTCGCCTCCATTTGATCTTAATCTCTCAATAATAAACTATGAAAAGATGTTAAAATTAGACTAGACTAATGTTTTCCATCTTCAAAAATGACCTAAAGAATCCCTATTTATAGTTTCTTGAAAATGTATCCTAAATAGGGTAGGAATAGGAATTATTGGAGTCGAAAAATCACATTTTTGCACATTTATCCGATGAAGACCGGCCCAATGTCTGGCACCGGTCATTGGACTGAGCACAAAGCATAAAAGAATCTGGAGACTCATTTGCAAAGTCCAACGCCAGTCATGGATCCACACACAAATCCATTCTGAATCCCAAAAACACCATCAAATAGCCCAAACCAGTTCTTGCTCAAAACATGAAAATTGTGGCCCTTTGAATAATATTTCCAACCCATAAGAATCAAGTAATTTGGAGGTCTGGACACTGAGATATGCCTAAAATACTGAGATCTAGTCATAAGAGCATCGCAACACAACAGTACTTTAGGAATTTGGATTTTTGACTATGAAAACGTGAGAACCAAACTTTGAGTCTCATAAAAGTTGTAGAGCATCCTCCTAGCTTCAAATTGAATCAAGAATCATCTCAATCTGACTTGTGTAGCTCAAGTTACTGCAAAAATATTGAAACATATCATTCTTGCAAAATGCGTTCCTCTTGACTTTAACCTCTTTCATTGTTTTTTCACACCACGTTTTTAGTTCATTTTCTCTCCAATTGAGCTTTTCACCTATTAGAACAATATAAGAACAAAATTAAGTAGTTTCTACTCAACATAAAGCTCAAATAAAATAGTTAACTAGCAACTTATATCTATAAATGTACTACAATTTACACCCTATCAATATATTATAATAAAAAGACCTAATTCATAATTATCAATAGGTTAAAACAAAAATACTTACTTTATTGGTCCATATACAAATATACAATTTAGCCTTTCTCATTCTTCCTGTATCAACTGAAACTATATAACAGACATTTTTAATTATAAAAATAATAAGACAAAGGTCTGAAACAAGATGGAAGATAGTTTCTTGAATGATTGTCTAACCGTGTACATAAAAAAAGGAAGTTATTAAAAAATTTAGCACTGATTCAATCATAGATAAATTTAGTTCTATGAAAGAACGTAAATCTCATTTTACTTCTAAGAAAAGAGATTGAAATTTCAAGGTATGTCAACATAACTTTTATCTTTTTTATTTGAAAATAGTTATATTTATATTGCATAGGTGACATATTGGAACATCTTCTCATAATGTTCAACTTGGATGGTTTGTGATGTTATAAAATATTTAATCAAAGCTTATTTCTTACCTTGATTTTCGTTGTGACTATACTGCATATTTACGAAATAAACATAGCTTTATAATTAAATTTAATATTTGATATTTTTAGATATCATATATTTAAATAGATAAAAATTATTTTGAACATAATATATTAAGATAATTTTATTAGAAAAAATTTTGCCCCCTAGGAGAAAAATCCTAGCTCCGTCACTGTCGCCATCAAATATAGACAAATACACATATTAAAGCGGTACAAGTTTGGGGGGCGCAAAGTGGAGTTAGTCCCAGTTGGGAAAGTAGACGTTACCAATAGTCTCCCAAGAAGCTGATGGAAATCTCTGCAATAGTTTCCACACCATCCTGACGGCCACAATCAAAGTGAACAGCAGGAAGCTGGCAAACACGAAGCACGCCGCAGCTGGAGTTGCAGGTGATATTGTTAGTGCAGAGTAGAGGTATCCTAGCATCAGAAGGACCAAAGAAATGTGCAGCACACCGTAACCAGTTGTTGGTAGCAGCAAAAAGACAATGCCCAATGAAGCACCAAATGCCAATGAATTCCCCACCAAGAATGGACAAAACTTAGTGGCTCGCATCACCACTTCTCCAGGCTCCACCGCTGGTTGATTTGAGGTGGCCATGGAGCTGGAGGGCTGAGGACTGATTGATATGCTGACGTGGCTATTAGTATTGCCGCAACCAACATGGAATTGCACATTTCACCGGATAAGCCTTCGTCCAAATAAGCATTGATTTGAAATATTTTCTCAATCAGTGCCTCTGGTGACCCCAACATTTCTGCTAAAGTGGGAAGTTGATGAAGCCGTGAAGCTTTTGAAGCTCCTGCCCTAAGTAAAATCTTCTTCATCCTTGCGTTTACTTGGATTGGAGGTTTAGTGTTGGATATATCAAGGGCTGTCAGGCCTTCATGGTTCTTTGCGTTAACATTGACATATTTAACCAGCAATTTGGCAACCTGAAAAGCAAGTAAGAGGGATTATTTATCGATCAGCCCAGTTAATTATACTCACCAGCATTCTAAAATCTCACATGATCTTTTTTTTTTTTAGCATGGAAATTTAAGAAGTGAGGAGGGGAGAAAGGGAGATTTAAACCAAGGACATCTAACTTTTGGAGCCCTTAGTTCAGCCATAAATGTATTCAGGACCTCTAACATCTCGAGTCTTAACCTTTGCAAAAAATGTCAAAGTTACATATAGTAGAAGATCTCCACAAAACTACGGTATCATTAAAGTAAACATTCAGGAATTGTGGCATCTCAAATTCCTATTTCTTTGGTTAAATATAACTATGCCTCTTTTCTGATAAACACTAACCGAGATCTGATTCTAATTTTGGGATAAAATGCAACTATGTGCCAAGAACTTGATTTCCTGAGCAGCTACCGCCCCAAAATCCAAGCATTGTGCATTCATGTACAGTGCTTGTAATTGTTTGTCTAAATATGCACCTTATTGTCTATGAGAAAGAGAAAAAAACTGTAAGGAAATGTACCTCAGTTTGATTTGTGGATGCTGTGACATGCAACACTGTATTGCCATCTTCATCCCCCCAGTTCAATATTTCTTTCCTATTAGTTCGCTTTAGCCAACCAAAGAGCACTTTAAAAGCTCTAAGTTTTCCGTTTTTCATGGCAATGTGTTCAGCAGTCTCGCAGCATAAAGTCACATCTTCGATTGATGCTGGACATTTCCGCAGAAATTCAGCCAAAAAATCAATTTCCTCTACTTCTGCAGCATAATGCAAAGGAGTAATTCTTTCTCTGCCCTGAATACGGATCAGCTCTGGAGCAAATCTTACAAGCCTTCTCACAGTTTTTCTGTGGCCATTTCATCAAGCTAGATCCAAAGGGCTAAAGCCATCGTGGCTTAAAACCCTCCCTAAAGAAGGCTTTAAACTCATGATTTCAAGGGCAAAGTGTGTGTGCGCTGTTTCTGCAGCAATGTGCAATGGTGTATGATTGAATGGTTTCTGATCTATGCATTCCAAAAGGTCTGGATTATTGCTTATCACTCTATATAAGGCACTAACATCACCTTCACTGGTAGCTATGGACAGTTTCTGCATTCATGTTGAAATTTCAAATTACCACTACTCCTCTTTATCAAATAGAACTTGAAAGAAAAACATTGTCGATTTCAAGTAAAAGAAACACAATATTTCCTATGATGGCGAGATGCAGAGGAGTCATCCTATCAAATAGCACTTGCAGGAAAGCAGAAAGAAAATAGCATCTGAATCAAGAAAGAGCCACATGTCCAGGTGAATATAAAAGTGAAAAGATTAACGACAAAACGACAGAGGGAATTCCAAAAAATGTTATGCGATAGAAGAAGCATAGGAAAATGGATTAATTACACGAATTAGTCCAAACAAGCAAGCCAAGGGTGATTGACAATCCCTCAAGTGAAAACAATAGGATTCAAATAAGAACCCACACAAGATACCACAGGAATTTCTAGTTGAGCGCACTTAAGAATAGGAATTAATCCAAATACAATGCTGTTAAAAATAGATAAAAAAAAGGTCAAAAGCTGTAAAATAAAACTCTAGGTACGTCCTATTTATAGGCAACGAGTTCTAAACTGAAAAGGAAAAGAAAATACATGAAAATACGAAAAATGAATAAAACATCGCATCTGGCAGACTTTAGGATCCGCCGCGAATGGATCCAAGGTGCCCATCCGCGGATCCGGTCCGCATGTCTAGTCCGGCCCTGGATTCCTGGATTGGATTGTGTCTAGAAGCTCACACAATCAACAAGATTAATCCGCGGCACAGATTTGTGGGGCTAGGGAAAGGATTCGCACACGAATTCTTTGAAGATGCAGCTTTGAAGATTGATCAATCCCTTTGATGCGCGACCCAACTCATGATCAAAACTCATTCCACATAAAAATGAGAAAGGTTTCCTTTATGTGTGTTTGAAGCCAAGCTCAAAGAAATGAACATGTGATAGGCTGCAGTTTAGTACAGTTTATACCGACTAATCCTCGATACACATTTAGCTGGTTGAGTATTATTAAATTTAAATGCTCTTAACCTTAGTTAAAACTAATGAAGTTTTCCAACTTTAACACAAATCTCATCCTACTTTTTTTGCAACTCAAATTCTTAGCTTATCATCCATCATTCACTTTGTTGTGGAATAAGTCTATTGCTTCTTTTTGTGACGACTAAGAGTGAAAAATCTACAAATTCATACAAAGATTCTTCCTTGGAAATTTTATAAAATAATTGTGATGCCCCCACTTCTCCCTAGGGCGAATCCAAGGGTATCCGTGGAACGCCTGCTTAGCTCTCGTCAGGACTCGATATAAGTCAAATTTAAATTTAACGATACACCACCAATAATAAAAGCTAAAATAAACAAAAGTCACTTCCTTACATAAATATTCAAATCTTACATCACAATTTACCAAATGTACGTCAACTTTCCCCAAAATACAACCACTAGAAGTCGACTAATCAATTACATACCAAGATTCTTGTGAAGCCCCGAAAGAGAAAGAAAGAAAAATTTCTGGTTAGAAATGTTTTGGAGAATCTGGCCAGAAATCCGGCCAGTTCTTGGCCAGATTGGCAGGGGTTTTGGAAAAAAATTTGATTTCGCCACTGCCACAAATCCGGCCAGCAATCCGGTCGGAAATCCAGCCAGATCTTGGCCGGTCTTGGCCGGATTGTGACATGGCATTTCAGCAGCCAAGTTTGACCGGCTGATTCCTACGTTCTTATCTTGCTTTTGGGCTGAAATTTCTTCATTCTATTCTCTAGCTTGGCCGAACCATTTTTGAGAGGGAGAACAAGAGAGAAACTCCATTTATTTCCTTTTGATTTCCTTCACCAAATCTTGAGTTTTAACCGCTAGTTTTGCAATCTATTCCATACAAGTGTGCACTAAGGAAGTTTAAAGGCTTTGGTGGAGTCTTTGGTGAAGGGAAAGCACTAAGCTATCTTGTTTCTTGTGGTTATAAGGTGAGTTGCTAAGAAATTCCCTCTTTGTTCTTAGTAAGGGTGGATTAGTGATTTTATTGGCTAAATATGCTATTTTATGGAAGATTTCAAGATTTTAAGTAGAGTTTGACAAATTTCTGATTTATTAGTGAATTTTTTGATTTTATATGATAATTGTTGGTTGCTCTTGGAATGATAGCTTGATATGGTGTCAAATGGAGCCTTTGTGTGTTAGTTGTGGTTGTTTGCGGAAAATTGTAGATTTGTGTGAAAAATTTCAGTTTTAGGGTTTCAAATTTGGGGCTTTCTTATGGTTGGTTATTGAGCTCTTAATTGGTTAAGATTTAAGAGTATTGTGGCCCTGATTAGGTGTGTTTTATAGTCTATGATTTGTTTGTGAAAATGTGGTTGAATTGAGATGGTATTGGTGTTGTTTATAGGGTGGAAAGTCAAGAAATTAAGGGGAAGTGCTATCCAATCTTTGAGAGCATTTGATTGCTTTGAGTGAGTAGGCTCTTGGTAGAAATGAAAGGCTAGGACTTGAACAAGGCAATGTCTGTGATGGATGGTTCCTGGAGCTGTGGTTGGTGAGTGATTCCACAACTATTTGCAAAGTTACTTTTCAAACTATTTCTTGCATTGTTTACTCGATTGCATATCATGAGTGCTTGCATGTGTACCATGAAATGATTTGGCTCCAATGAGTTCTCGGGAAATCTTGTGTTTAGAACCAACGCCTCCACTTTAATGACACTTGATTTGAATATGGGAGCACCGATGGCTCTCTTGTACTGCTTGACTGTTACTGGATTTTATTGGAGAGTTGGATGTTTAAGTACAATAATTTCACTGGCTCACAAGAGCAATAAACGTACATTTGATCACTGATCCATGATATCATCTAACGGCATTATTGTGAAACTGGTTGGATTACTAATTTTACTGGTCACTCACTGAGCTTGTAGCTCACCCCAAAATATTTTCCCCTCCACAGGGCTCGAGGCCAAAGGAAGCGCTTGTAATGAGTTGTTAGTGTGTCTGAAGAGATATCTCATATGTATTTTGCTGATTGTACTTATTGGCGACTGGATGTAATGTGTGCCTGGAAGAAATATCTCCTGTACAGTTTGAATTCGGACTTCTCTTGTGTAATAGTTGGGATTGTATGAATGATTGGAATTGAAACGAATGCATGTGTGCGTTCCACGCTTATGATATGTAAATTTGTGGAGTATTTGATGTAATATTTGAGATGTGATGTAATTTATTTGAGAAATGTAGTGAGTCCCGGCGAGAGTTGGGCAAACGATCCGTCGAACCCTTTGGTTCGCCTTAGAGGGAGGTGGGACTGTCACAGGTGGTATCAGAGTTCCTAGGTTAGAGGATTTGGGCAGTTGGGAAATGTGTTATAGAACATATAAGTATTCGATTGCATTTAAGATGAATCGTATCTATTACGAGGAAATGCCGGAGAACTGATTCGGTGATATTTTGTTGTGTAGGTATGGAGACTGGTGGACTTAACGATACTGGTGGACCTAGCAATACCGGTGGACCTAGTGGTGCCGGAGTACGAGCTACGAGTGTAGGCGATCCGGTGAACCGTGTGGTGCGCCACGAGTCCTTAGATATCAGAGGAGGGTCGGGGAACCCTATAGGTTGTATTCTCCCTTCGGCCAGATAAGTCGATCGTGTGAGTGTCAACATACGTATGGATACCCTGACAAAGTGGTTATGGCTATAGATGACAAGCGTTGTCGCCTAGGTAGGACGGTCGACACTCTGAGGGCACAGTTGGATGAGGCCAAAGGGGTGAGCCATGCACAGGCCATGCGCCTGCGTGACCTCGAGATGGGGTTACGAGCTGAGGAGGAGCAGACGCATACCCTTGGTCGTCAGTTTGAGGAGACCTACCGGCACCTCTTCGCTTTGAAGCGGCAGATGAGAGAGAGAGCTCAGGGTATTATGCTAGACTGCGAGGTTCTCTTAGATATGGCTGCCGAGGCGCCACCTAGGGCTGGCAGAGCGGGGCCGATGGATGCGATAGACTCTATAGGCTCTGTAGGGGATTTCCGCTAGGGCCGTTACTCTGAGTTATTTTGTTGACTTTTGGAGCCGGTGTGCTCATGAACTAACATGTTTTGTATTGGTTGAATGATGGCTAGCTGTGAACTGACATGTGTATATTTTTGGCGTGAATTGTATATATATGTATATAGTTTTGTGTATGATATTTTGGTATCTTGGTTATTTCGTGCATTTTATAATTTTCAATACTTTGAACTCGTACCATATTTTGTTCCAATTATAGAAGTTATAAACTAATCAAATGGAGACTCGTGGAAGGGGTAGAGGACGAGGACGAGGACGAGGACGAGGACAAGGAACTAAAGGGGTAACCAAAGAAACTGCAAATAGATAAGCTGAGACCCAAGTAGCTACAGCTATACAACGAATGGCTGATTTGTTAGAACGAATGGTTAACCAACAGGGTCAAGGCCAGGTACAGCATTCCGAAAATCATGAGGGAGAGGACCGTGCCTTAGAACGGTTCCAGAAGTTTCTACCACCAAAATTTTTGGGTGGACCTAACCCTGATATAGCGGAGAGTTGGTTGGATCGAATGTTAGATATTTTTGCTGCGTTAGGATACCCGGAGGAACGGCAGATAGCTTTTGCCATTTTTCAATTTGAGGGGGCGGCTCGTGCCTGGTGGAATGTGATCAGAGCCAAATGGGATAGAGAGCAGACCCCATGGATATGGGTTAATTTCACCCGTGAGTTTAATGAGAAGTACTTACCACCACCTGTTCAAGAAAGGCAAGAGGATGAGTTCATACGACTACGTCAAGGGACTATGAGTGTGGCGGAGTACGAGACGCAGTTTACCAAACTCTCTCGTTTTGCTCCAGAGTTAGTGCTAACAGACCGAAAGAGAATTCGTCGGTTTGTCCAGGGTTTGAACGTGGAGATTCAAGAGGCACTGGCAGCTGCTCAATTGGAGACATATAGTCAAGCTATTGAAAATGCACAAAGAATTGAAAGTATTAAGAGTCAAGTAAAGGCTTTTCATGATAAGAAAAGAAGACAACCGGATACAAGTAGTTATATTG